GGGGAAAAAGCATAGCCACCATTTTTCATCAAGTCTCCAAGTAACTGATTTCATATAGGATCACTCAATCAATTATCTTCAGAGGAGTATGGAGACGGTGCTTTCATGTTCTTGCTGATTCACTTTCCCTGCCCAAATTCTTACCCCGGGCAGACCTGCCAGTGCAGCCAGGATATGCTGCTGAGCCCACGGCATGTAGTTAGCTCTCCCAGGATAGCAGCACATGACTAAAGATCTGAAGTTGAACAATAGGAGCCTGCCAGTCACCAGTGGAAATGCCTCCTTCAGGAATCAAAAGTCACTGGTACCAGAATATAATGTCTACCCACAGGGGGAGGTCAGAAGGGTTGAAGGCAAGAGAAGGTGGAGACCTGTGTGGAGGGGATGGCTTTAGGGACACAACTATTCACCTCACTTATTTAGGACTAGAGTCCCAAGGGAGATTTTTGATGCCACTGGCATTCACAGTACCTCTGGCCTGGTCTGGGGGTATGTAACATTGTTCAGTGTCTAAGTTTCTGCTGAAAAAGTCCCGCTACGTGCCCCAAAGTGCTTGCTGCTTGGCAGGGGTACAAGCACCTAAGTCCTCATAGCTCTGAGAGGCATGGCCCCACATCTTGCAACTAAGCACGCTCAGCATTCACGCAGTAGGACATCTCTATCTGTCTCACGTGCAGACCCTGAGCCGGAGGATATAATTGGTGCATGTACTTTGCATCGGTGCAGACCATGCCTCCCCCGCCCCACAAGAGACAGCAGGACGTATTGCTGGGCATTTACCCAATAACCCAGTGCCTAAGGTACCCGCTCAGGATGTGGGAGACTGAAGGGTGGGGGGTAACTACCTCCTCATCTGGTCATCTTTGCACAGAAAGAATTGCCCCTTCCCCTTTGTTTTAAAAAGAAGGGGGCAAAAACTAGAAGAGGTCTAAAAGCTTCCAAGTGGGTGCCTTAGCCAATAGACTATTGACTTGTGTCCTCTGTCTTTGGCATTAGAAATCTTGACTTTTGCTCTTCACATTGGCTTATTGTCAAAATAAGAGGTAAAACAACCTCAGGCCTGTGGGTGAACAAACCTACCACAAGGTAGGAGAGGTACTTCTGAATCCCCTCTGACTGAGGAGGGACTTGAACTCTGGTCTTCTGCACCCCCACTAACCAGCCTAACCACAAGGCTGTTGTGTAAGAAGGGATAAGAAGCGCTTTTAAAATGAAGGGTGAACAGATTATACCAAGTTAAAAGAAGAGTGGATTTACATGAATGAAACAAGGCTAGACTACCATGGCTTAGTTCCCAGCTCCTGTGAGATATGAGTGGACAAACCAAGTCGTTTCTACCGAGAAGCTGACATGCGGTAAACCTTCTCCTCAACTCCCATTCCCTTTTTGCACGTTGTCATTTGTTTGTCTGAACCCCAAATGCCAGCCACTTCTTTTATTTGGTGTGGAGCCCCATCCAGTAGGGGTGTGATGGCATTTTCATTGACTGCCTGCCAAAGTCGTCTCAGGAAAGAGATGGAGAGTCATGCTGCAACTCCGCTTCCCAATCAGGGTATAGGTACGAAATGGGTTCAGCCCTTCGAAGACCAAAACAGTCCTGTGAGCACACAGAAGCACATGCCAGAGGAGCTGAAGGTTGAAAGCTGAGGTCTGGATGGAGAGTAGGCATCTCCAGGGTTCAACGACTGCTGAGCTGGAGTTTCCAGGACCGCGATATTGGATTTAGGTCTCAGCACCACTTCAGGCACCTATATCCTTTCCCTGGATCTGGCTGAAGGACCCTGTTCATAAAGAGCATGACCATGCATGACCGTGGTGTGCTTTTGGGGGGCAGGAATCAAATGCAACATTTCTTCTTGCATTTGCATAGTCACAGCTATTCATACTGACTTAACTACTTTTCCTCCAACCATCTCCAAGCACTCTACAAAGGTGGGTATTTTGGCACTGAAGCACCAGAAAGTTAAGGCCTAAATCCTCCAAAGTATCTACCTTGAAGCCAGTGGTGTTTAGGCACCTAAGCATCTTTCAGGCTCTGGGCATCAGTGATTTACCCTAGGTGATTCATTCGTTGTCAGAGCCAGATTGCTTCCCTCCAGCCACTAGCTACCAACACCAGATGTAGCTGCCGGTGTCACACCTGCTCATAACAGAATAGCTGTAGGCCATGCTAATCCCATTTATCAAGTGCAAGCCAGGAACCCCACTGAGATCCCTGGCATTATCCCTGTTGATGCAGTCTAAGGAAGAGAAAACTCTGTTATGCATGTGAGAAACACGGTCACTCAGCGCAATTAAAACATGAAGTGCCATTTTATGGTTAAGCTCGATGGTTTCAAAACAGCCCCCGCATGCCTTTCCAGATCCCTTATAAGATCCTGCCTAGAATCCATCCATTCATTAGCACGCCAGTTGTTCCCCTTGCGTGCCATCTAATGAACTGCTGCCGTGACCTGGCAGGGACTTGGCTTGTGTGGGATGATATATTTTTGTTGCATACGGTCCCTTGTAAAGTGCAAAGCCCTTCAACAAATGCCCTGCCTACCTGAGGCAATAAGGATGTGATAACTTTATCTACATAGATGTTATATTACTTCAGGACCTGGCTTGTCTTTCCGCCCACCTTTTGTTCCCATGATTTCACCCTCCTGGCACGCTTCGCGCACAGCCGCCAGGCATGAGCCAAGCACTTGCTGTGTGCAGGAGGAGGCCTGGGATGGGGGTGAGGAGGGGGCTGTTTTGTTCTTCCAGCAGAAGCAGTGTAATCCCTCCTTTGTCCTGGAGGTGGGATTCCCCAGGGAATTCATGCAAACCCCTCCACCCTCCCACTTTGTGCCTGGGCTGAATGAGCTTGCAACAGTCCCATCATTATTCTTATTGCAGTCTCTTGTGCAAATTGCCAGTGAAGGCCCGGGGGGGGGGGGGGGGGGGGGGGAGAACCCACAT